TTTCTTTTTTTACACTATTTGGGAGAGAAACCAGGGCTTTTGCACTAAGCTGCATCACCAACCCTTTCAGTTTTTGTTTTAGTATTTTCAGACAGGTTCTAGCTAAGTTTCCCAGGCTAAGGGGAACTCAAGAGAGATCTTCCTGCCTCAGCCTAACAAAAGCCTGCAAAATGTGCCACACACTGCTCACCAAGTGATGGCTGTCCCAGGTGGTGTGTCTGCGTCGCTCTAAATTGAGTCAAGGGATAAAAAGCAAAAAACTGGAGGATGGGATTTCCCATACATCAACAACTACCGATGTTAGCAGGCTTTAGTCTGAGAACAGATCAGAGATTTCAGGGAGAAGGATGGAGTTACATTTATTGAAATGAAGGGTGTGAGTAAAGATTTAAGTTTATAAATGAGAGGATATATACGGAATTAGAACCAAAGTGAAAGGTAGGCCTAGAGGATTGAAATAATCACAATGTTATTCAGTAATAGTCTTACAATAGGTGACAGCCAAAATTTCATTAAGAAGAGTATCTCCTGAAATCCCCTACATCCCGCAAATCTCCTGGGTTTGGGCACTACTCCAATTTGTCTGTTTTCTCTGTGAAGTTTCTTGTGCTGTCCTTATGCCCAACCACACTACGGTCTTAGAATAGCAGGACCATCTTGTGTTTGTTTTCTGTCTACTCGCAGGCCCTGGTAGTTATATATACACATACACACGTGTACACATACATAACATGCATACACACACGCACTGTGGGCTTTCAGGAAATATGGAGAACAGACTGATTTGCCCATTTGTTTCAAGGAGGTAGAACATGTGGCTGTAAGGCCCTTCCTGCAGCCGCCCTGAGAAAGAGAAGAGCGTGGCATTAAGGCTGGTCACACGAGGGGTGGTGCTGTCCACATTAGTGTTCTGGATGAGCAAGGGTACCTCGGCAGTTAATTATTGCCTCCATTTCACAGATGAGAAACTGCAGGGCAGAGTGTGGAGAGGACCTGTGTGGGGTCACCAGGCACCAGGGTGCTCAGTACTCCAGCAATGCAGTTCCTCAGAGCCTCGATGCCCTTCTGCTGGGTGTTCCGGTGCTGCGCACACTCAGGACAGCCTAAGCGTGAGCAAGAGCCTTTGATCTACGAGACCAGCTATTTCTGTATTTTCGATGCCAGTTACTGACACAACATCCATATTTACCTCTGGTCTCTGCACCTTGGCTTAATCTGAGTGGTCTTCTAGACTCTGCTTCGGTTTTCCTCTTCCCTATATTGCACCTCCTAAGCGTTGTAACAATTCTGCCCTCTAATGCTCAGCAAATATGTCTGTCTTGCCCTGCTTTCCATCACTACTGTCCTTGTTAGGGGTCTAATTTCCCCTCTGCGCTGCAGTACTTAATGGCTATTTGATGTCCTCCGCTCCTTCAGAATTCTTTAAAGTGCACTCATTCAGAATACACATCTGACCATCTCTCTTCACAGCCTAAAGCTCCTCAGCGGCTGCCTGTTACCCTAGAATAAAGCTTCAGTGCCTCAGCGTGGCCCACAGGCCCGAGTGCATGGCCGTTTCCACTCTCAGCCTCCTCTGTCACCCCCAGAACCAGGCAGCTCTCAAGCAGCAGCCTGTTTGCTGTTGCCTGAGCACTTGAGGCTGCTTCACACCCCGTGTCAATGGTGTTTCTGGGAGGACTTTGTGATTGTGCACCTGGGCAAACTTCGCTCACACCACTTACACAACCTGCAGAAACTGTGTCTTCCTGCACCCCACATGGGTCTAGATGCCTCGCTGAGCCCAATGCCATCATCCTTCTGTCTGCAGGGCCTGGCACAGCCATTGGCAAAGGAGGCTACAGAGGTCTGCCAGAAGCACTGAGTTTTGAGACCCCATAAGAGTTGAGCCTGTCTGGGTGGTGAACAGGGATGAGGGCTATGGAGTGAAGAGAATGACAGAAGCTTTCTTCAGAGGTCAGAATGGAGCTGAATGTGGTGGAGGAGGAGATCTGGAGGGGGTGAGGAAGGGCAAGCGGGTAGAACAGTACTACCAAGGACCTGCAAGCCTAAGAGGACATGGCCCATGAACCCTGCAATGCCTGGTCTTCCCTTTCTGGAATGTCCATAACAACAGACACATAATAAAATTATTTTTCTTCAAATTTTTGTTCCTTGAATTTTTCTAGGTAATGTATGAATTTCATGCAAAAATTCAAAGAACTGCAATCTTTGGTATAAATGGTAAGAAACTGTTAATGGCTGGGTGTGGTGGAACATGCCTGCTATTCTGGCTACTCAGGAGGCTGAGGCAGGAGGAGTGGAAGGTTGAGGCCAGCCTGGGAAACTAAGTAAGGCTCTACCTCAAAACAAAAACAAAAACAAAAAATGCACAAGAACTGAGGATACAGCTCAGTGTAAGGCCCTGAATTTAATCCCCAGGAATAAAAACGTCACTGTTCCCCCTCAAACAAAAGAACCACAGCTGTACATGATGACAGGGCATGTGTGAGGTTTGCTGAGAGTACAAAAGCAGAACAGGCAGGGCTTGTGGAGGAGAACTGCAAAATATTTCATTACTGCAATTACTTTAGGCATCACCATTTTCAGTTCTAAAATTTGCTACTGTCTGCTTTTCACTGCTTATCCAGCAGGAGCTCTGAGCTCTGATAGCTTCATTCTTCTCTGTGTGCTTTGGTTTCCTTACTTGGTTGTAAACATAGTGCCTGCCTCAGAGGGTTGTTGTCAAAAGCAAATGTGAATAAATGCAATGAACAGAAAATAGTAGCCGTCCACACAAGTGGGCAGTGGATGTGGCTACCATGGATATGCCATGAGGGACAAGTAACTGCTGAGATCGGACAGCAGGGAAGAGCCTATACTTGAAATCCAAAGGACATGGCCTTCATACAAGCTAAAAAGTTTCATAACAGGCAGATTATTTGGATAACAAGTTTGGCTTGAAGGCATATACTCAATCAATTACCTGACCAATTACTTACTTTTTTGTGATACTGGGGACTGACTCCAAGGCACTCTACCACTGAGGTACATCCCAAGACTTTAGTTTTTGTTTTGAGACAGGGTCTTGTTAAGTTGACCAGGTGGGCCTTGAACCTGTAATCCTCCTTCCTCAGTCTCCCTCAGTGTGAGGATTATAGGGGTGTGCCACTATGCCTGGCCTGACCTTATTTTTTAAACCTAAGTTACGTTTTAGTTGCTTATACTCACTAACTATAGCCTTGAATGATTTTCTGTAGTTTACTCCTGTTGATTTATTCACCTGAAAAAATTCTGCCTTGCTGGCTTATAAATCACTGCCCAAAGAAACAGTGGAAGAATCCTAAGAGATTGTCTAAGTATAATGGTCCCATTTGACAAATCAGAAAGCCTGCAGAGGTCAAGTGACTAATCCAAGGTGACACATTCTGAGGGCTGTGACCAGTCCTTCCCGCACTGCTCTCACCCGTACCCTCTCCTTGTCACTGTGCCTTCAGTGTGTGAACTGCGTGCTGATCCCTGGTCTATTTACTCTGACTAAACTAAAAGTGACAAAATATTCTCCGGATTGGTAAACACAACTGGCTTCGTCTTCTTCTTTACTTGCATATTTTGTGGGCTTCCTCAACAATATGCACTTGTTATGAGGAGTCAGTAATTGCTAAAATGTTACCAGTATGCCTAGTTTATACCTTTTACCTTCCAAAGCCAGTCAATAAGTACAATCATGGCTTCCCATGAAATGTTTCTTTTAATCATTTGATTATATAATCTCACTGGTACGGCCTAGCTGCTATTGCAAAATTTATAGGGTAGATACATTTTCTAGAAAGTTTTGATAGTCACTGCTAGATAGGTTTCATGTTTCCCTACTGGGGTAGCACAGGACTTGTCAGCTCACCCTCCTAGAGGACAGGGGCTACCTAATCAGGTGTTTCCAGGGGTAGGCTCCTGCTTCCCATACCCACGCATGGCCTAAACAGTCACCTAGAGTGAGGTTTCCTGTTAAGAGATGAGCTGGTCCAACCAACCACATTCTTGTTATTGGGAATACGGCTCCAACTCAGGGGGGATTCAGGTAGTAAAGATACCAAATCTGAAAAACGCAAGAATAAAATCCGTAAGGTAGACGTAGGAAGGATGGGTCAGAAGTTACAAGGAAGCAGAAAATATGTGAACGCAGAGACTCTGTATAGAGACAAAGCACACACCAAGCAAGAATCAGGGTCTCTTAAACAGGATGGGGCAGCCGGGAAAAAGTGGGCTGTAGTTAGGAAGCAAGTTTATTGCATGAAGAGTTACAACGATATATGTTTCAAAACCTCACGTAGTTCTTCACTAATATGTATACTTTTTGTATTTATTGTCAGTTAAAAAGAAAACGCATTTAGACTTTTTCTCCTGCTAAGGTTTTACAGGCAGGGTCCCTGGCTTGTGCGTCAGGACAGATGAAGGATTCAGCGCAAGGAAATTTGTGAAACTACTTTTTCCTTCACCAGTACTTGTGTATCCACCCGCGGACCCCATCCCCAAGGTAAAATGATTTGATTCTTGCAACCAAAACGACTAATTAAAATACCTGGGAAATGAAAGCGCGCGCTAGAGCAAGCTTTCAGCTTTGTGATCATGTGCTACCAGCTGGCCACTACCGCTCAAAACTCTTGCAATTAAGGGGAGCTGCACATGAAACACCCTGGTGGTCCCATCTTAAACCTTTGCAGCTTCCATTCCCCAGCACCTCGCGGAAACCTGACAGTGATCAATGCTCCGAAAGCATGAAGCAAGTACCCACGTGGGTGCAACGCGTCCCAAGAGTGGAACTGCTTCCTCGGTAATCGGAAGGGCAGGCCCCCGGCTCCTGCCCCCTTAGGTGTCGGAGGTCCACACTGGCGGGCACAACTCGCTTTGGTGGCGGAGCCCGGGTCACTGTCCCTAGCCCGCGGCGCCCGCCGGCGCTCCCCGCCTCGGGGACATCCCGGGCGGCCCATGCCCGTGCCCCCCGGCCCCGCCGCCCGCCCGGTCACCTGTAGTTGTAGGAGCTGAAACGCTTGCTCTCTCTCAGCATCGCCCGGTACAGATCTAACACTTGTGCGCGGCTGGAGGCTGCCATTTTGGAAAACAGAAAAACCAGAAAAACAACCCCAAAGGCTCCTCTTCGCGGAGGTCCCGAGTTTGACTCAACCCAAATTTCAGCCTCTGCAAAAACCAAGAACGGGAGAGCACGCGGCGGCCCGGCCGGGCTCGGGCAGCCCTCGGCGGGTGCGCG